AAATAAAACGAGTAACTAATTATCATGATTTATTATAATCACCACTTCCGTTGGGTACATTAATCTTTCGAAAGCCCAAAGTGCCCACATCGGTTAGTAAACTTAAATATGGGTTTTAGGCCACTTAATCGCACAAACTAGTTCAATAGGATCAGTTTCTGGAACAGAAATTAATTTCCAGTGGTGAAATTCAGTGTATCTGGGTTATCTCGAAATCCTCACTAATAATCGCAATTTTACATATTATTCTCAATCTTGTAGAAATTATAAGAAACGTATATACCTATTTTTTCAGAAAATAGTAGGGGGTTGAAACTGTGCTCGTAAACCGAAAAAGTATGTAATTTTTCATTATCTCTTGTGAAGTGAACAAACTCAAAAAAAAAAGAAATTTCCGTAATTTCGGAGAATCGTCAGGTTACCAAAAAAATAATAGTTCAATACCTGTTATTCATATCGACAACTAATGTTTCGCTATCCCTGGCTTCAGAGAATTTTTTGTTTCCAATGTACCTTTTTGGCAAGTACGCTATTTTTGTATCAGTCTCTGAGGACCCCAATAAAATATCATTCATGTGCTCATTATTCAAGTATTAACTAGATAATTACATATATTTCTCCTCAATATTTTCACGAAAAAATATAATTACGAAATGAATGTCTGTGATAACGCACGAAAAGTAAACTTATCCATGAATGATTAAGAAAAATAAAACATTTAAACATTTTTCCGAATATGCCACATAAATGGTGAAATTGTAAAAAAATATGAATGGACTGGCCCGTTACTTGATGAAAATTAATAACACTATCCATGATAAGTATCAAACATTTCTCACAAATAAAAACTTTACTGCTACCTCATGGTTTTTGTGTACGAGGACTATTCAAAAAATAGGTGAATGTTCAAATGGTCATAGTTTCAGCTATTTAGCATGTTCAGTTTGTTGGTGAAATGCGTAAAAGTCACAAGTGTTGTGCGTGCTCAAAAAATCAATCGAAGAGTTTGAATCAAACTGAGTGCTTGAAAAAACTTGAAATGTTGACCGTGGCATACGGTGATTGTACTCTGAGTCACAAAAATGTTTACAAGTGGTACAAACTTTCCACTAGATGTCGAGAAGACGTGAAAGACGATGATCGTCCTGGATCCCCGCACATCAACAACCGATGAAAATGTTGAGGAAGTGAAGAACTTTGTTATGGAGAATCGTCGAATCACTATCAGAGATGTTGCTGAGGATGTCAGCATATCGGGTGGCCATTTTTTTTTGGGAAATTCTGAGAATAAAGCGTGTGGCAGCGAAGTTCATTCCAAATTGCTGATTTTTTACCAAAAAAACCGTCGCATGAGCATCGCTCAGGGACTGTTGAATGGCGTCGAAGGCGATCCAGATTGGCTTGAAAGGGGTATAACTGGTGACGAATCATGAGTATATGGTTATGACATTTGAACCAAAATCCAATCGTCCCAGTGCAAGAGCCCCATGTATCCAGGTTTCACTCACTATTTTTCCCAATTATCGTGGCGTAGTTTATCAGGAGTTCTTTCCACATGGTCGTACGGACAATATGGAGTATTAGGGGAGAGTGGGGTAACTGCGAACACCTAAGGAAGAACTGAAATTAAACAAAACCAGTTGAGAATATGAATGCTATTTATTACTAGAAGTTAACTATAACTAATCAATCTTATGTTCGCAGAATTAACGCAGATGAATGTTCCATATAAAATATTATCACAAAAACAAAACATTGGAGCCCGGAGATTGATTCGGGGTAATTGATTCAATCTGAATCACTTACGGCTGCTATCATATCAGGATTGCCTCCACGTAACAACTGAGCATTCATACGCTTCCTCTTNGCGACTACACGGGGTGAAAGACCCCATGCGCGTCCCACTGTCCTCCGACATTGCTCATAAGCCACGTATGCTCTTTTTGCTCTACTCTGTAGATGAGAGTTCCATGTTAGCTTCTTGTCGAGGATAATACCAAGGTATTTCACCTCTTCAGAGAAGTTTAGTTGGCTTTTGAAGATTTCGGGAGGTTTTAAGCCCGTTAAACTTCTTTTCCTGGTGAAAAGGACCATCTCAGTCTTCTTGGGATTGATCGACAGTGAGTGTTCCTTACACCATGTTTCTATCAATTTGAGCCCATCCTGCGCTCTATCGCACAGTGTGTTTACAAATTTGCCGGTCTGCAAGATAACTATGTCATCTGCGTATGCAATTGTGTAGAATCCATTTTTGTTAAGGTGATTAATACTTTCAAACTAACTCTCATTTTGTTATTCAATGACGAACTTTTGAAAAATATCAATTTTGGAAAATATCAATTTCTACGTCACATTATAATTTTCAGGTGATTCACACTCTTTTCCACTTCACAAGTTTTTGTAGTTGTTTTTTGTAAGACATTTTTCAAAAGGAGCTCTTCGTTGGAAGATCAAGTTCGACATTTGAGAAGATATTTTGAAACAGATGATATCTCAAGACTCACTAACGAATGAAAATAATTCAAACAAAGCGTAATGAATTTACTCATCTGTGATTGGCTTGAAGGTATTTGGTCAGCTGTAATTGATTCAAAAGGGGTGAGTTATAGACCATTATCTACTTAGATCAAATAATTGACTTTTCCTCAAGTTGACAAATCAATTATTTCAAATCCCGCATAAAGAAATAAAATAATTCTCTAATTCACGTATTAATTTGATTTTTCCTTCGAACTTTTTATAGACTCTACAAGTCACCTCTGACGAAGTAAGTTCTAATCAACATTAATTGGCTTGGTTGTTCAACTGTGGTATAAACAATTATTTGTTTTGAGAAATTCGTACAGGCCAGGAAAACGGTACATAGTACTGAATATTCAGTCGGTTCAAGTTCAATGCTATTCTCCGTCGTACCTATTATTCCCCGTTAGATATTTTTGGTTAACCTTGCTTCACAACATCGTTAAAGTGCTTGTATTGAATTCATTCTAGTGTACAATAACAACTCTGGAGTCGATAATGATCAACTAATGAGGTAAGCGAAAAATGTTGCGGAAAACACTGAATTTTCCGTTCATCGAGAGGAATTCTCCTGGAAGGACATTTATGGAAAAGACACTACTACAATTTCCAAACAGTTTGGTCAGAGTTTTCTGTGGAGGACTTGACAGCCTAAAGCCTTTTTTTTATCAAAATATTTTATTAAACTGAAAAACTACAAAAATCAATAAACGATTGTACGAAATAAGGATAAAAAAATTATCTATTCAATTTTTGGCTATTTCTTCTCATGAAATTTCTACCAGCAGTTTCTGATGGCAAATCATCAAAAACTGAAAGAAGACCCTCTGAACTCTTTACTTGCCAACTACTAAGCGAACAAATTCAAAATGAAATAGATATTATTATAATAATAGAAGTAGCTAGAAGTGGATGTGTAGGGTCCCTTGTAAATAAAGAACAATTATTCATTCCATCATCATGCAGAGTAAAAATATTGGGCTTATTTTTGGGACTTTGTCATTGTATGTCAGTGTCTCTCTCCGTCCAGAATATGTGGCCATTAAACAAATTAGATAGAGACTCTTCAGTTTTTTACTGTATGGTAATAATTCTAAGTAAACCTGCTCATTTCAGAAGCGGGGATGAAGGTGGATTCCCCTCTCTGTATTTTTGTTAGAAAATCTGGGAAAATCCAAAAACTGCAACCGAACTCAAAATTATTCATTCGGTAATGAAATGAGAAAGTAATTTCTAACTTTGAGTTAACAGAATTCAAAAGGCGGAATTGAACACGGGAGTGCCATAAGGTTCAATTCAACGTCCACTACTTTTTTTCTATCCATACCATCCAGCTCGTTAACTCCCTCAAACATTGTTCTTCTCATCTATACACAAACGACACCCAGATCTATATCTCTTTCAAACCTGAAGACGCTAATAAGGATTATGTTGTTTTATTGAAACTGCAACTGACCATTATCTTTGGACCAAAACTTGTCAGGGAGATATTCTCGAAAATAATTTAAGATTTGAAACTCACGTGAAAAAGTTATTCAAAAGGTTTATAGACCTCCTAAGATTCTTTATGAAAATATAAACTTTCCTACGACGGTAAAAAGAAAAATGTTATGTGATAGTTTACTTTTGTCTACCCTGAACTTTGCTGATTGACCGTGCACTCAACGAAAGCATATGAGCGAAAAATCTAAACGATTCGGAATTCATGTTAACTTCTCATTCATGGAGTTCGAAGGCGGGAAAGTATTTTCAATAACTTAATTGAAACAGGTTGGTTGAATATGGAAAGGCGTAGGCGGCTGCATGCAGCGTGCTTATTTCACAGAATAATCATAACGGAGATTCCGATTTACTCATATGGAAAATTTTCATTTCGAATCGATGTCTATACAATAAATATTCGATTTGAAGGTCCTTAAACTTCAGCTATTCATCATCATGAATTCTTTAAACGGTCATCCACTTGCCAAATCAGCTACGTGTATAATGGTATACCAAAGGAAATTAAAGAAATGAATGGGATTATATTCAAATACTACTATGAGAATTTTTTGTGAGAGCAATGAACCAAATATAATATTTCAGATCTTTGAGTCGTTTTGTATTTTCTGTATTCCATGCATATTCCATAATATTAAGCTTGTGTGAGGTTAAGTAGTAGAACAATTCAGTAATTTTCAATAATTGATTCAAACTTCGCCTTTGATGTCAGCCCTAGGATTAGAATTGTTTTTTCAAATGTATGTGTATTGGAGATTGGCCAAAATAAAGAGACATTATTATTATTTGATTCCACCCAGATGCGACCATGTTAATTAGATATGAAGCCTTCTGAGGGACCAGGATCTTCTTCATACAAATTTCTACAGATATATTAGTGATTAATAAAGGCCGCCATTGTGTTTTTTATTTCACGTAGAGAATTATTCCAAAAGTTATAGTTGCAATTTTGTTTTGTGATGTTTTCAGATAGATAGCTACAAACCTATTTCAAAATTAAAAGTGGCTAAAGAAGAAAATAATAAAATGGAATATAGATTTGATCAGATGGACCAAGCTACGAGATCGTATAACCTAAGAATATTCAGCCTCGAAGAAAAACCAAATGTTACTAAACATATCGAATAAGGACATCTCTATATGCTACAGGATTGGCAAGAAAGAAGAAAGGAAAACAAGAGGAATCTTTCTGAAACTCAACGACGAGAATAAAGAAGCAATTTATGGAAAGAAAAAGTTTCTCAAAGGAACAGGGATAGTCATAAGGGTGAACCTAACTAGATCTAGGATGAAACTATTAAATACAGCAATCGAAAAATTCGGACTCAAAAGTGTATGGACCCATAATGGAAAAAATCTACATCAATAAAGACAATAGGGTGTTTAACATTAAAAATAACGATGACTTTACACAATTCTCACAACAAGGAGAAGCTCAATAATTATATCACAGATAGCAGCAGTACTTTGCTAATAAATGAATATTTCTTCTCTTAGAAGAAATTATATGATCAGGTATTTATTCAATTTTATTTCTCTTGTCGTATGTTCGACTAAATATACAGGGCTATTCAAATTCGTTTCTGTACATGGGGATCTCGTAAACGATAAGAGATAGACTGTCGGTTAATAATGGCAAAGTTGCGTATTTCAGAGACCTATTCAATGATGTAAAGAAATCGAATGAAGCTCTTTTGGTTCTGGAGTAAAATTATCTATTCAATTTTTGGCTATTTCTTCTCATGAAATTTCTACCAGCAGTTTCTGATGGCAAATCATCAAAAACTGAAAGAAGACCCTCTGAACTCTTTACTTGCCAACTACTAAGCGAACAAATTCAAAATGAAATAGATATTATTATAATAATAGAAGTGGCTAGAAGTGGATGTGTAGGGTCCCTTGTAAATAAAGAACAATTATTCATTCCATCATCATGCAGAGTAAAAATATTGGGCTTATTTTTGGGACTTTGTCATTGTATGTCAGTGTCTCTCTCCGTCCAGAATATGTGGCCATTAAACAAATTAGATAGAGACTCCTCAGTTTTTTACTGTATGGTAATAATTCTAAGTAAACCTGCTCATTTCAGAAGCAGGGATGAAGGTGGATTCCCCTCTCTGTATTTTTGTTAGAAAATCTGGGAAAATCCAAAACTGCAACCGAAGACGCGGGAAACAGCTAGTTCAATGATAATGAATCCACTCAAAATTATTCATTCGGTAATAAAATGAGAAAGTAAAATCTAACTTTGAGTTAACAGAATTCAAAAGGCGGAATTGAACACGGGAGTGCCATTCAACATCCTTTTTTTTCTATCCATACCATCCAGCTCGTTAACTCCCTCACACATTGTTCTTCTCATCTATGCACAGACGACACCCAGATCTATATCTCTTTCAAACCTGAAGACGCTGATAACGGTTATGTTGTTTTATTGGAACTGCAACTGACCATTATCTTTGGACCAAAACTTTCAGGGAGATATTCTCGAAAATAATTTGAGATTCGAAACTCACGTGGAAAAGTTATTCAAAAGGTTTAAAGACCTCCTAAGATTCTTTATGAAAATATAAACTTTCCTACGACGGTAAAAAGAAAAATGTTATGTGATAGTTTACTTTTGTCTACCCTGAACTTTGCTGATTGACCGTGCACTCAACGAAAGCATATGAGCGAAAAATCCAAAAGATTCGGAATTCATGTTAACTTCTCATTCATGGAGTTCGAAGGCGGGAAAGTATTTTCAATAACTTAATTGAAACAGGTTGGTTGAATATGGAAAGGCGTAGGCGGCTGCATGCAGCGTGCTTATTTCACAGAATAATCATAACGGAGATTCCGATTTACTCATATGGAAAAATTTCATTTCGAATCGATGTCTATACAATAAATATTCGATTTGAAGGTCCTTAAACTTCAGCTATTCATCATCATGAATTCTTTAAACGGTCATCCACTTGCCAAATCAGCTACGTGTATAATGGTATACCAAAGGAAATTAAAGAAATGAATGGGATTATATTCAAATACTACTATGAGAATTTTTTGTGAGAGCAATGAACCAAATATAATATTTCAGATCTTTGAGTCGTTTTGTATTTTCTGTATTCCATGCATATTCCATAATATTAAGCTTGTGTGAGGTTAAGTAGTAGAACAATTCAGTAATTTTCAATAATTGATTCAAACTTCGCCTTTGATGTCAGCCCTAGGATTAGAATTGTTTTTTCAAATGTATGTGTATTGGAGATTGGCCAAAATAAAGAGACATTATTATTATTTGATTCCACCCAGATGCGACCATGTTAATTAGATATGAAGCCTTCTGAGGGACCAGGATCTTCTTCATACAAATTTCTACAGATATATTAGTGATTAATAAAGGCCGCCATTGTGTTTTTTATTTCACGTAGAGAATTATTCCAAAAGTTATAGTTGCAATTTTGTTTTGTGATGTTTTCAGCTATAATATCCCAAGGACATTGATAACTAACGAAATAATTTTATCACAGTTTTCGATATGAACGCATAT